AAAAAAAAAAAAAAAAAAAAAAAAAAAAAAAAAAAAAAAAAAAAAAAAAAAAAAAAAGAACTATTTTTCTTGGTTTTAAAGATTTCATACCTTATTTTTCTAAGTTAATTATTCAAATTTCGAGAGTCCCTCACTAATTAACTATGCAGTGAGGAGTATTTTATCTCCTTATGGAAAAAAATCGCTACATTTATATAGCTTTCTGTTTTTTACATGCGAACAAAACCCCATTTTCCCTCTGTCTCTCTCAGGTAAGTTGCGCGAGTTCGTAATGACTTCCCGATAGGGGAAATCCGTATATAGTAGTTGAAGCAGCTGCCTGAGATGTTACTTTTAATGCCACTAATCACCGTTGCCCAAGGGCAAATTCAGAGATTAAGAGGTCTGGTGCCCGCTACCGCAGGCAGGTACCTTTCCAATCTACAGATCGTCGTCCCGAGCATAGAGTCTAAAACTCTATGGTCCCGAGATGTTGGTTGGTTCGTTCGTTCGTTCGGTCGCATCATAAGCTATGATGAATGATCGACATGTAATTTCTTTTGCCTAACACTGTGCGTGCATGATGTTATTTCCTCAAGTTGTATTTTAATAAACTCTTTATTTGCCGCATTGCTTCTGTGGTTCTTCTACAAAACAACACTTACAATAGTTGTATAAATTGGAAAACCTAGCAACTCTGAAAAGAAAGGAAAATGCGAGAATAAGACATAGCACATTTTTAACTCTAGAACTGTGCAATAATTAGCCACAAAACCTTAAAAAAACTTTCAAACATTACAAAAAGGAAGGCTCTATTTTGTTTCGTAGGACGGTTAAAAAAAGTCACCTAACTCTAGTTGATGCCAGTAGTGTTTAATTCATTGAAGTTACAGATATTATACTTTCTTCGGTTGTGGTGATTAATGCAAAATGATATCAATGAGTAAACACGCATTTATGGGACAAATTATTGGATTTTTCTGCCATAGCATTGATTTTGACCCATCTAATCAAGAGTAACGTTCCTAACAATATTCTTTAGGATGCCTTAGCCGGACAGTCATTTTCTTAACTTAAGGAGATGCCGTTTTTATAAACTTCCGAGATAAAACTACTGGTTCAACTTTTTACTGATGCTTGCGTGTGTGTCACTGCCGCACGCATTCTATTACAACAGAATACTCAACAACTAAACGAGAGGCCTTTTCTTTTCAGCGATGGAAACATTCATGGGACCAAAAAATTTGTCCGTTTATGAGAGTTGTCCGTTTACGGGAAGGGTACCCTAATAACGAAATTTAACACCGCAAATTGTTTTTAAAATATTCCCAAAGATGTAGAAATAATTAAATAATATCTACAAGCATACTGTAAATATCTACAAGAATATTTATTTAAACAATAAGAAAGATAAAAAAGAATATATAAAGAAGTTTGATATAAATACATAATTCTGGATGTAGCTACAGATAAATAAATATAATTTTCCTATTAGCATAGATACTCAAGTTAGACATATGATACCAAATAGGAGCG